GGGGCCGGCAGGCAACACAACTCTTTAACACCACACATCACAATCGGTCTCCCAAGGCACACAAAGGTGCTACAATTTAACTGTAACGGACTCCAGAGCAAGATCGAGGAGATAACTGTCTTTATGGGAAGGCATGGAATATTAATAGCTGCGGTCCAAGAGACGAAGTTGCACGGCAATTCAATCCTGTTGAATTACGCCGGATACAACGTGCACCGTAGAGACCGCGAGCGAGATAATGGTGGAGGTTTAGCGTTCATCACGCACCACACCGTGCAGTATCGTCTCATTGAAGCAGACATCGACCGCAGGGATACCATCCTAGAATGTCAGGGTATTGCTATCCGGTCAGGCGATGTTGAGCTCGAAATATTTAACGTATACATACCCCCTGTCACCAGCTGCCCGGCAGGATATCACCCTGAAATAGGTGCGCTACTCAGAGGTGAAAACCGTATGGTAGTTGGTGACTTTAACGCGCACCATGATTCTTGGCACTCAAGCCTGTCAAATGATCGTAGGGGAATACATCTGGCTGAGCAGATAGACGATTCGACATTCTGCACAATGAACGACGACGCACCCACCAGGATTATGGGCAGCTGCTGCAGCTTGCCAGATCTAACAATTGTCAGCGCTGGTCTGATAAATAGCGTATCATGGTGACCTATGCTGACTAGCATCAGACCATCTGCCCATAGTCATCTCGATTGATAAACCTGCCGACTTTGCTTCCGTGGATCACCGGACTTATGTCAACTTTTCCAAAGCTGACTGGAAAGGCTTCACGGATGTTACTGAGGGCGCCTTCACTGCACTACCCATACCAACCGACGTTCATGTAGGTGAACGTAAGTTCCGCAGGGTTGTCACCGCTGCTGCAGCTCGCTTTAACCCAGCAGGATGTATTAAGGACCGACGTCCGAATTTTCCTGCCGAAGCGGCTATTCTAGCTGATGAGCGCGACAACCTTCGTCAGGCCGATCCCGGAAATCCCCGTATTAGGGATCTCAATTCGGAGATTCGGCAAGCATCTGAGCATCTGAAGACCTGCAACTTCGCCTCTGGTGGTCAACCGAGAGGTCGTTGTCCAACCCGACAAAGCGCGACGACAGAGTCGAGATAGACTTTGGTGACCACGCTTCGTCGGACCCGG